GGCATACAATGGGCTGCCTACAACCAAATGACCGTAGTTCCGGGGTTAAAACTACTCTGCCAAAACTGGGCACAGTCTCTTAAGTCCGTGTGTAGGAGACTTTACAATGGACTTGGCTGCAGAATCCATGGAAGTTCAGGTCTTGACACTTTCCTCAGGGCTCTGCAGAAAAAGTTATTCCTCACCCACAAACTCTTCTCTGTAGCAGGGCTACAGGGGGCTGCCTTTAAAATGGTCCCTCCCTCAACAATTTGTTCTTACAATGCTGCTGAGTTCTGTAAACTGCCCTTAGTGTAAATGATACAGACTTGGCCACACCATATGCTGGATGCTGCTGCTCAGCAGGAAGAAATCACTGATGAGAAAAGCTTAAATGTATCGTTCTTATTCTGTGCAAAATAGTCACTTTCAATACCTCTATGAAGTAGGAACTATTATGTTCATTTTACAGAGGAAACTGGGCATGGATAAGTCACCCCAAGACTGAAATAGGACCAAGTCAGAGCAGAAGCTGGGAGACAAGAGCAACACACAGGCAAGGAGACCTGAATCCAGGGGAGGGGCCTGGGGTGAGGAGCAGCGACTGGGGTGGAAGCTTCAGGCAGTGGCGCTTTTCTGGAGGTCCCGCTGGACAACGTGGGTGCCAGGAGCATGTGGAGCCCCAGGGAAGGTGGAGGAGAGGCTTGCCCAGTTCCCTCGCCTGCCTGCCCTGTGGGACTTGGCACCAGGCTTTGGTTCCCCAGGTAACCTGGAGCAGGAACTGGTTTCCAGGGACTCATGGAAGAGAGTGGCAGGAGACTGGAAGGGGGGTCTTGTGGACAACGCTTTCCCAAGACTCACCAGATGCCAGGTGTGTGGGCAGCTGACTCTTGTGAGCACCGCTTGCTAGAGGGGAGGGTCCCTGGGGTTCCTTCCAATCTGGCTCCCACTGAGGCTGCAGGTGACACAGTAGCAGCCGTGTAGGTCGACAGATATGGGTACAGTCCCCACTGTACAGACCCCCCCCATTTGTGCTTTAAGTCAGTTTTCTCAGACAGAGATTCTTGCCTGAGGGATTTACTGTGGGAGTTCTCTCTGGAGAAACACCTCTGAGAAAGTGGGGAGGGGCAACCCTCTGCAGAAGGCCAGGCATGCCGCTGTGGCCACTCACCGCCACCCTCACGGCAGGTGCGGGGACGGCGCCCACCCTGGGAAAGGGGTCTAGGTGGGCACCAACAACATGCACTGCACCACTTGTGGGTCAACAGTGGGACTGCTTGCAGGGGTCCCCAAGGCTGCTTGGTCTCTGGGTGTGTGTTACTTTGCAGGGGTCCCCAAGGCTGCTTGGTCCCTGGGTGTGTGTTACTTTGCAGGGGTCCCCAAGGCTGCTTGGTCCCTGGGTGTGTGTTACTTTGCAGGGGTCCCCAAGGCTGCTTGGTCCCTGGGTGTGTGTTACTTCTTCCCAAAGCAGCAGCAAATGCTGTGGCAGCTGCAAAGCGCCAGCAGCCCCTCTAACCAGAACAGCAGAAACGTACAGCAAACGGTTCACATCTTGAAAGTCAGCTTTGGCAGCAAGGACTGGAGGTAGTGACATGTGCAAACCTCCCAGCGAGGGCTGGGCTCTTTTCACATGACTTCCGGGACCCCACGGCTTGGATACAGTGGGGGCTCTGCTGCCCAGAGATACACAAAGCCGAGAAGCAGCAGCCCGTGTGTGCCCGCAGCTCCCTGGGTGGACTTCCACCCGGGCGGGAGCTTCCTCCAGCCACCACGGTCCATCAGCAATCCCCATCCAAATCTGCCTCGGTCATTTTCCTCCTGGGCTTTGAGCCCATCCAAACACAATCTCAGCAGGACCATTCAGGCTCCTTCCATGAGAAGAACATGGCATTCTCCTTCCGGGCACAAAACGCAAATAAATAACTCACTGTATTTTCACAGGCCAAAGACTGACCCTTGCCTTGGCAGGTCTGTGTTCCAGCTGCCTCTGCAGGGGTCCTGGGACGGGGATGCACACGTGTACGTGAGTGTGTGAGTGTGTGTGTGTGTGTGTGTGTGTGTGTTGGGGGTTAGTCGGGAGACTCAGATAAGAGAAAACCCACTGTGGAATTCAAGAAAAGCTTTGTGACTGAGGTGAATGTGGGCACAACTCTTTCTCCAGCTGGTAAAGTGAGCACCTTCGGCGCCATCTTCTCTTCAGCCCCAAGAAGACAGTCACTAGATTGATGGTGCAGTATTCATGTTCACAGAGCCAGAGAAGCTACTGCTTGGGAAATGGAAAAAGAGACAATGGGAGGAGGCAGCTCTGGGAGCTGGGACAATATCAAAATGCCCCTTGCATTTTGGGAAATGAAAGGACAGAGAGTCTCTTTGATTAGAATGAAATCCTCATGAAGAAGGTAGACAATGGATCTATTTGTTCACTTCGTTCTCTGCTGTGATCTAGAAGTGATTTCTCTAGAATGAAAGATTTAAAATGCATCATCCCCAACTTCTCCCCGTGCCCTGCACTATGTATGGAGGAATCAGGTACGTGGAAGTCCTGGGAATTTCAGTTTCACCTAAACCACACCAACCCGTCCATGTGACACCTTTCCTGACCAATCCCACTATCCCACCTGCAGGGGTCAGTCTAAGGGAAGCTGGCTTTGAATTCGGCAGAAGCAGAACGTGGAAGAGGAGACGCCCCATGGCTCACACTCACTTCCCCCTTCCTTCCACTGATGGGAACCACAGGATTTCTCATCAACTCTGCAGTTGCTGATATGTGTATGGTTTCAGTGCTGGTAAAATACTGCACATGATGTTCAGAGCAGCACTACTCACAATAGCCAAAAAACGGAAACAACCCAAATGTCCACCAACTGATGAGTGGATAAACAAACTGCAGTCTAGCCATCTGGCAGAATATACTCAGCCATAAAGTAAATGAAACACTGACACGGCATGGATGAGCCTTGAAGACATTATGCTAAGTGAAATAAGGCAGTCACAAAAGACTACAGATTATGTCATCCCTTTTATAGGAACTATATACCACGTAAACCCACAGAGAAAGAAAGCATTCTGGTTGGAGGGAAGGGGATGTTTGGAGTGACTGCTTAATGGTTATGGGGCTTTCTCTTGGGTGATGAAAATGTTTTGGAATGAGGTACAAGTGGTGATGGCACAACATCGTGAATGGACTAAATGCTACTGAATTGTTTGTTTTAAGATGGTTAACTTTAGGTTATGTGGATTTCAACTCAATTTAAAAAAAAATAACATATATATATATGATCTTTCCTCAACCTGGTAAGCTGGGCTTCCTCACTCCACATCAACCCTCCTACATTCCTAGAACAGGCCCTTCACCTGTTGGTCTGTGGGACTGGAAGAGAAATGCCTTCTCTGTCCCTTCCGCTGCTTGAGTTCCTGAGGGAAATGCTGTGTATTTCTTGATCATGCAGGTCTGTCAGCTTCAGCACTTTCTAGCCATGTGAGTTGGGCCCCCAGCTTTAACCTGTCAGCCTTCAGCGTCCTCAGCTACACATTTTTTTTTCCCTTTTTGTCTTTTTTTTTACTGACCGGTAACGGGATCACAACCCTCGGTGTTGCGCCCGCACTGCGCTCAGCCAGTGAGCGGGAACCGGTCTCCACATGGGATCCGAACCCTCGGCGGGAGCGCCACCACACTCCCAAGCGGCGCACTCTCCAGTGCGCCACCGGGCCAGCCCTCAGCTACACATTTTTTGCAGGGTTGATGTGATTATGAAGTGAGAAAAGGCAGGAAAAGCTTGTTCTTAGGCATATCAGGAAGATATAACAACGATCATTTTTGTAACTCTAAGCCCCAGTGGAACAAAAGAAAAAATCTCCACAGCTATTAGCCTCCTGTCCACCAGGGGGAGTCTTCTGAAGAAATCCATCATCAGTTCTCCTATCTTGGTTTCCTTACCTCCTATTTCTTCTGCTCCTTCATCCGCACTTCCCCAACTCATCCTACTCCCCAATGCAGTAGGACCCAATTTTTGCAAAGCTAACTCCACTTGATCCTTGCCAAGGGACCGTGGGGTACTCTGGATGGTGTTTACCACCAGAAGCTCTGCAGTCTTAAACTCTAAACCAGGAGTCATCAAGCTTTTTCTGTAAAGGATAGAAAAGTAAATATTTTAGGCTTTATGGGCTACTTTCTTTACAAATACAGGTTGTGGGCCAAATTCAGCCTGCTACCTGTTTTTGTACAACCCCTGAGCTAAGAATGATTTTTACTTTTTTAAATGGTTGGTTTAAAAAAAAGAAGAAAAATATGTGATGTGAAAATTAAAAATTTCAGTGTCCATAAGTAAAGTTTTATTGAAACACAGTCCCATTCAATTATTAATTATTACATATTATCTACGGTTGCTTTTGAGCTACAATGGAGAGTTGAGTAGTTGTGGCAGAGACAACATGACCCACATTGCCTAAAATATTTATCATTTTGTCCTTTAAGAAAAAGTTTGCTGGCCCCTGCTCTAAACAAGTACTAGTGATTAAAATCACTGATGGACTCATGTTGGTTTTCCTGAGAATAAGCATACAGTTGACCCTTGAATAAGGCCCTGTGCAGTTGAAAAAACATGTGTAATTTTTGACTCCCCCAAAACTTAGCTACTTAACTACTAATGGCCTATGAATAGCCTACTGTTAGGTAGGCTTCCTAACTGTTTGGTTAAGAAGTTAAAAATGCATGACATACCTAACCAACATATTTATTGAAAAAAATCTACATGTAAGTGGACCAGTGCAGTTTAAAACCATGTTGTTTGAGGGTCAACCATAATTCTTTTATGGATATACAGGGCTCTTCTGTTTACTCGTCTGCAAAATGGGGATAATAGTACTATCTCATGAGGTTGTGGTGAAGATTAAATCACTTTAGTACATGAAAAGCAGCTAGAATAGTACCTGGCATTATAAGCACCCAATAAATGTGAACTGTAATTTTGTATAGACTTGGTAAGGTATAGATATGAATTCAAATAAATACAGAAAACAAAGACTTCTCCCCTCCCAATTTATTTTGGAATGTGCTGTAAACAGTTTGAAACATCCCTTTAATAGCTCTCTGGCTTCACCAGTGTTGGATGACATGACAAATTCTCCTTCATAGAAGGTACAAGAGAAAGAACTTGAGAGGCATTTAGATCCTTCCCTCTTCAGAAAGTGTGATTGTATCAAGAGGCATCTGGTTTTCAGTAAAACTGGCCCATGTTTCTCTGGAGTGAGGTGTCCAAACCACTGTTCATCCATATTTCCTGAATAATTTGCTCCCTGCGCTCAATCCTTTCTGCCAGCTCTGCAGCCTCTATGGAACTGTAGACAGGATATGAAGTCCTACAAAACCCTGACACTTCCCCTGGAAAATCAGAGTCAGAGGAGCCCTCTTCCTCCTCTTCATCCTTGCTGTCCTCCTCAACCTTGTCACTTCCTGCCACCAGGTGCTCCCTTGCCAGCTGCAGCTCCCGGAAGTCCTTGGTGCAGGACACTTTGATAACTAAGGCACACAATGTGAGGGCCAGGCCAATGCAGACGCTGGACATGAACAGCAGGGCCGCTCTCTCAGGGTGGGCTGCAGGAGGAAGAGAACATGTCAGGAGCTGGGAGGAGCTGTCAGTCTGCACCAATCCAAAATCCCACAGAAACAGATGTCTACCCAAGCAGGTGGCCAATGCAGACGCCAGTCCTGGATAGCATCTTTGAGATCACCCACAGCTAACTGATCATAAATCCCCATTGATTGTTTTACAAAAGGTTTTTAAAGCATATATGAGTATAGTCAATACACGTATATACATGAGAAAACATGTAGCAGAGAGACTCGGGAGCCAGACCCCTGAGTTCAAACTCAGATCTGCCACTCACTAGCTGTGTGACTTTGGGCGGGTTGTGTAACCTTTCTGTGCCTTAGTTTCCTCATCTGTAAAATGGGGCTTATAGTGCCTTCCTCTGACAGAGTTGTTATGACAAAATGAGCTAATTCCTTTAAAGCTCTTAGAATACTCACTGACACATAGTAAATGGTCAAGAAAGTGTCAGCTATTATTAGTAGTAGTAGATGTAGATTATGAAGAATTAATTTATGTATGAAGTACATACATGAACTTAAGTAGTAATAGAATAAATGTTAGCAAAGCTTAATTCCGTTTTTTTAGATTAAAAAATCAATACAAATACAAAATATAAAAATAAAGCAAAATATAAAATAAAATATAAATATTTTATAAAAATATATGAAAACAAGGGCCGGCCCGTGGCTCACTCGGTAGAGTGCGGTGCTGATAACACCAAGGCCATGGGTTCGGATCCTATATAGGGATGGCGGGTTTGCTCACTGGCTGAGCGTGGTGCTGACAACACCAAGCCAAGGGTTGAGATCCCCTTACCGGTCATCTTTAAAAAAAAAAAATATATATATATATATATATATATATATATATATGAAAACAAAATAAATAAAAATATAAATAAAGTTGTAGTCATTTTTTCTGTGTACAAATATAGTAATCTTTCCTGTATATAAATGTCAATATAATAATAATAGAAACTAAAATAATGCTAATGTGTACAATATGCCTTGGTCTAAGCTCTTACATATGTTTAATCCTTACATTAACACTGTGTGGAAAGGACTACTTTACTTTTTTTTTACCATCACTATCCCCACTTTACAGTTATGTGCCCTTGGGGTATTAGCACCCCCATTCTGGGAAATAATGAATGATCCAGATAATGCCCTCAAAATATAGATCAGAAGTTGACAAACTTTTTCAGTAAATGGCCAGATAGTAAATATTTTAGGTTTTACCAGTCAGAGGGTCACTGTTGCAAGTATTCAACTCTGCTCTTGTAGTGCAAAAGCAACCACAGACAACATATACACCAAAAAGCATGGCTATGTTCCAATAAAACTTTACTTATAGATTTGGCCCTCAGGCCAGTTTGCCAACTCTTAATACAGATGCTCAAGCTAAGGGCAGGGGGGAAGCACTGCCCAAGGTCAGTTGGCCTCTTCAGGCAGAGCCAGGACTGGAGCTCAGATCTTGACTGGTGAGCTCTTTGTGGGGTGCAGAGGTGCTCCTTGTGGGGTACCGTCAGCACTTTCTCAGTTCATCTCAACTGAATGGATCCTCCTCCAGATGCACCACCTCCCTTTTTATTCCAGGTGAATAAGTAAACTGTTGTTTTTGCTACCTCTGTCCTTCCCCAGAGGTCCAGAACTAGTTTCAAAACTCAAGGGCTGTTAAGTTTCACATACAGTCAAGGATCCAGCCGCTGAGATCTGACGGGAGGGAAGGAACTGTGACACCTTATCTTCCTGAAACCTGAAACCTCCCCATTTGGCTCCCTTCACTTACAGCTCAAGTCATCGCTGGAGTTCCTGGACTCAAATATGTTCTTTGTCACCATCATCCCTGCTAGAACAATCCCATCACTCTCTTTATGACACGGACGTCTTAATTCAAAATTTATTTTGGCTGGGTGTGGGGCGGCAACTCGTGTTTGTAGTGCTATTAATAACAATATATTTTTCCTAAGGGTCAAGGTATTTAAAATATTTAATCAAATATAGACACGTATCCTTTGTGAGAAAAGGAAGGGCTCTTTTCATTTCTGGGAGCGGTAGCAAATGGGGATTTGGAGACACTGGCTCTGGGGACAAAGTCATTAACAGTAATACACAAAATGATGCCAAGATCTGAGCAAATCTTCTCTCCTTCTCCCCCCTGCAGATCTAAGCCTCCTCTCTCGCCTCACTCTCACCTGCATTCCCTTGAATCCCACTCCCTCTCGTTCCCTGCTGCAGACCCCACCCATCCCCTCCAATCCTCAAGCCACTGTCTTTCCCATTCTAGTGCTGTTATGAGCTTTCAACGCAACCACCACTCAGCTCTCCTTGGAAAACACACACCTTGAGCCCCACTGGCAGCAATGTAGCTGCCTGTTTTCCAGTGCAGACAAGGCCAGTTCTAGGCAGACACAGTTCCATCCTGGCCCAGCTTCTGCAGAACATCGATCATCCATGCCCCCTCCCCGCCTCTCCCTGTGGTGGTGCAGTGGGAGGACCCAGTCCTTGGGGCAGACACAGCAGGGCTCGAGGTCTGACTCTGTCACAGAAGGGCAGGTAACCACAGACTCATTACTGTACCTCTTTTTAAAAAAATTTTTAAGGGCTCCAGGTGGACAGAATTAAATTAGTTGTAATCCTTGGGACACGAACCACTCTCTTTGTTGGTCAATACCTGGCTCTTCTTTATGTTCACTTGTTTAATGAATTACTTTTGATACAGTAATAAGCGCCTGTGCTGTGAAGCAGCTCCCTGTGGGAGTGAGGGTCTGGACGACCCCCTGTGTCTAACCTGTGCTTCCCCAGACCCCTGCTTCTCCCACCACAGAGGCTACTGCCGGAATTCCATGTTCACAGTCCCTGCTTGCCTTTTGATAGAGTTTTTTGCATCTCTTTGTATTCTTAAAAACTTTTATTAAATGGATATTATGTTACAGATAATGTTTGGGACTTTTTTTTTTTTTACTTAATATATTGCTGTACCATATTCCATTGTCTTGACTATAACAGTTTATTCACTCACTGTCCTGCTGATGGGCATCTGGGTTGTTGCCGGGTTTCTGCTATCGTGGACACTAGCTGGGAACATTCCTGTAAACATCCCTGGTGTACATGTGCAAGTGTTTCTCTTGGGTACAGTCCTAGGAGGTAAGTGACGGGTTTCAGGCTATGTGGATTTCAGTTTTGGGAAATTACTGCCAAAGTGGTCACAATGTGTGAGGAATCCTATGAATCCTCATCTTCTCCAGCACTTGGTATGGACAGACGTGACTTTTTCCCAATGACATCTTGATTTGCATTTCTCTGATCACAAATTATGTGCACATCTCTTCCCATACTTAGGTGTTTCCTCTTCTCAAAATGCCAGTTCTTGTCACTTGCCCATTTTTTTCTAGGGGTTGATTGTGCATTTCCTCTTACATATGAAGAATACGTATATTTTCTGTATATTCTTGATAATAATCCCTTAACAGTGTGCATATTGTGAACATCTCCTGGTGAGCAGCGTGTATTTTCACTTTCATTAAGGTGTCTGTTGACTCAGTGAATTTATCTGAAAAACAGGATGATGAACACTGTTCTGCTCCCTCTTCCCCATGGACAACTGGTCCCAGCCTCCTCTCTTGCCCCTTCTGTCTATCTTCCCCACATGGCCATGGTAGTCTTTTAAAAAACACGTATCGGATTACATCACTAACTGACTTAAAACTTACAAATGGTCTCCCTCTTCTCATAAGCTAAAAATCAAGTCCTGACCACCGCCTGTGAGGCTTGCCAGGACCCAGCCCCCACCACCCTCCCAAGTTCACCTCCCAAGAGTCTCACCTATACTCTCTGCTCTCCCCTGCACGGGCCTTTTCAGGTGTTGGATGCCTTCGCACCTTGGCGTTTCTGCACATGCTCTTCTGTCAGCCTGGAAAGTTCTTTTTCCCCTCTACAGCTAGCCTCCGTGCCTCCCCTGCCTGAGCCTAGGCCAGGCCCCCTGCCATTTAGTCTCAGAGCATCTTGAATGTCTCCTTAACAGCCCTATTACACGTGCCACTAACTCACTGAATATGTTTGCTTTTTCTCTCCCCATGGAATGCAAGCTCCCTGAGGGCAGGATCTGAGACTGTTCTGTGCCAAATCCCCAGTGCCCGGTGTGCTCTCTGGGGCACAGCAGGGATTACACAAATATTTGCTGAGTGCAGGAAAGGAGGGGATCATGGGTGTAAGCGCCAGGCTGGGTGCCCTGTGAATGGGGATCCATAAAGTCGGTTCTCTCTCTTCTCCTCTCCTTCTCTTCCTGGGGGGTGAGGGTCTGGCTTCAGCTTCCAGAAGACCTTCTCACCCATAAGACTCCAGTGCCCTTTGGCTCAGGTCTAGGGCTTGTCCACATCAATCCCCCCGAGGTCCAGTGACTAAAGATGGAGCACACAGGCAACTCTCGGCAAGCCCATTGGAACAAGGCTTCCTATTCATCCAAATCAACTAGCTTGAAGTCACAGAATCGCCGAATATTAGTTAGATGGAATCTTAGATGAGCTGACCCAACACCCCACCTGTTGTAGCCAAATCACTCGTCCAAAGCCATCACTTGGCTGGGACCCAAGCTCAGGCCAGGGCTCTGTCCATGGCCCTAGACTTCACACCAAGGGCACTTCATCAGTTTTCCAGAATCAGTCAGGCCACTTTGGTCCTTCATGACCCCTTTTCCATTATATATTCTGGAAAAATAAAGGAGTTTTCTCCTCGTGGATGAACAGAATCTTTACATGTATTATTGCTGGTGTTGTTCTAAGTCTGGCCTCGGTTCGTCTCAGAGTAGAGCGAACAACTTTTAACTTTACCAGCTGTAGTGTGACCTTGGGAACCTAAGAATGGTCCCTTTTGACCCTTAGATCCTGGGTCTGAGGCCAAAACAAGCTCCAGCTCAAACCTATTCATGTCCAGACAAGACACCCAGAGGCCAGGTGAGGGTCCCTCCTCCTGGGACCCTGGTGCTGTGGGGAGGGTCCACCAGGAGAAAGCACAGAGTGTACTGGGCCCTGGGCTGACAGCACTTAGGGATGTGACAGAAACTTTCTGTCACGGAGCCAAAGATTAGACACCATGGGAATACATCAGAGTCCACACCTACGTGACAAGGTGGCGCTGATTTCCACTTGTTCTCCCTGGTGGGGGACCATGTAACTCTGACTTTGGAATGTGTTGTTGTACTACTATTTCAATATGGGTTTGTCTGCTATTCTAGAGTTCCTCTCATAGGAAACAATAATGCCCCCCAACTCAGGAGATGCTGTAAGCCTGTTCCTTCCTGCTCTGCTTCCCTCCCTGAGGCCCAGTTACCCCAGGCACCCCAAAAGTCCACAGCAGGTTCTGAAAAGGCTGAAGACCCACACTTATCACAGTCCCAAGGGGTAGGAGTGACAGAAATATCAGGCCACAAAAGGCATGCCTGTAGCCATATATGAGGTAAACACACAAAGCCAAATGCCAATAAAACACTAATGAGGTGGAATGGGAGAGGTCATGTTCTGAGGCAAGACTGTCTAAACAAATAAGTCCCCTTAGGCACAACCTGCCAGGGGACAATGGCTCACGCTGAGCCAGCTAGTAAACTGCCCTCCTAAGAAACACACACACACACACACACACACACACACACACACACACAAACACCCTCTTTCCGTTTCTCTAATTTCGAAATTTTCCTATAAGTTTCTTCAGACTTGTGACCCAGATTCCCGAATGAATTCAAGGAGTAGTTCTGAATTGTCGAAAAGAGGGTAAATGCAAACAAACCTAAGAAGCTGACCCACTGCTGGGAAAATGACCTCACAGATTGTCTGAATGGCCACAGGAGAAGCTGTTCCTCAGGGATCTACAGGTATGCTCATGTCCCTTCTGCCAACTTCTGTGTTGCAATATCTCAGGATAAGTACCACGGTTTTGGTTTCTTGTCTACCTGTCCCCTGTATACCTGACCGCATTCATGTGTCACAGCTCCTTACAGCCTGACCTGGGGAAATGTCCTCTTGGATTCACTCAATTTGCCAACTATTTGGCTGGTTTGGGCCAGAACCTGCCCGGCTCATGTTCTTGGCCCCTGGCTGCTCCTGCCAGCATCCTCTCCTTCTGGCAGTACCCAGAGACCCAGTCCCATGCTCAATCACATCCCCACAATGGGCCGAGGATGGTGCTGGGCATTGCTTGGCACTTGCTGTCAACTCACTACCCATTTGGGTTGAAATGGCTCAGCTGACACCCACATGCACCTCTGCAGTGTGCTGGCCTGCAGACCTCTCACCAAGCATCAGGTGTTGCCCACATCCAGAGTGACCACCCAGAGAGTGACAGGCCAAAGAAATTCACAGTCAAGTCCAGAGGCACCCATTCCACCAAGACGTTGCAAGCCTTTGTGATGTGAGTCATGAGCTTCTGTGGTGACTCCATTTACCTGACACCTGACATGGTGCATTTACGGCCTCTTTCTCTTAGACATTATATCTAGGCTTGGTCATGGCTTGCTGAGATGAATGTCCCAAACCATCCCTCAATAAAACCAAATAATCCACCACACCCTTACATTTAAAACATTTTTTTACTATCTTATAAATACCAAATATTGGATGATAATAAGGCACAGGACAGCTCATAATACCAGACCAGGATTCATCATTTGGTCATTCGTTAACTACTTACTGTGTATCTATTCTGTAAAGGCACTGTCCTAGACATGGGGATATGACAATAAATAAAATGACAAAACACCTGCCTGTATGGAGACAGGCACTAAACAAATAAATCTGTCTATGATTTCTGGGAGTGATGAGGATGTAAAAGGATAGACAGGGTTGCAGGAAAGCTCATTCAGATAACTCAAGGTCAGAAGGTTTCCGTCCTCAAAATTCTGAAGGGCAATGCTTCTTGGTGAGAGAAGCTGAGTGCAAGCTTTGTACAAGGGTACTTTTAAAAGTTCATAGAAAAATTGTATTAAAAGATAATGAGATGTTGAATATACTAATTACCCTTATTTGAGCATCACATATTGCACACAGGTACTGATGTTCAATGCTGTACCCCACTGATATGTACAATCAATTATGTTTCAATAAATTTTTTTAAGCACTAAAAAACAAAAAAAAGATACTATGAATCCTTCCATGAGACCTGCACATTAGCCACTTCTGAATCCTGGTCCTGATGTTGTCCATGGTGACCTCAGGCAAATGGCTCAACTCCTCTGAACGTCAGCTTCTTTGAATGCAGAATGGACAATCAGAGTCCCATCTCTCAGGATTGTTTCTATGGGCTAAATTGTGGCCTCTCTCCCCACCCCCAATTCATGTGTTGAAATCCTAACCCCCAATGTGACCATATCTGGAGATGGGGCCATTAGGTGATAATCAAGGCTAAAGGAGGTCATAAGGGTGGGGTTCTAATCTGATAGGATTGGTGGTTTTTTAAGAAGAAGAGATCTCTCCTTGTCTCTGTCTCTCCCTCTCCCTCTCCACCATGGGAGGACACAGCAAGAAGGTGGCCGTCTGCAAACCAAGAAGAGAGCCCTTACCAGAAACCAAATTGGCTGGCACCTTAATCATGGACTTTCAGCCTCCAGACTCATGAGAAAAATCAGTGTTGTTTAAGCCACTCAGTCTGTGGCGTTTTGCTACTGCAATGGAAGCAGACTAGGATGGCTGCTGAGAGGAACTGACAGGGCATCTGCAGTAAAGCACATGGCATGGCCACAGCCCAGAGAGCAAGGTCATTATCATGCCTCTTCAGTCATTATTCTCTGTTTGAAGGATTTCCATGATGCTTTCCTCCAAGGGGCTCTCAGGGGACTGTGTAAACATGGAGATATTTCTGACAATAAAAATCCTTACATTTCTTAACACTGACAATTGTCAGGAACAGCAAGACATGAAAGTGGTAGAGTGGTTAGAAAAGAGAAGATTCTCAGAGGAAGCCAACAACCTCATACCACACAACAAACACACAGGAGGAATATTCATGTGGGAAGACGATGTTGGCAGAGGATCCCAAGACTGAACTCTCTATCTCCTACACTGAGATATTCCTTTAAGCCTTTATTTTCCTCTGAGGAAGGCTTACCCCAAACAGCCCCAACTCTGAAGGCCTTGAATAAAAGTACTGTCATGCATTCTATCAGCATGTACGTTACTGAAGGTCAGGCAGGCATTGTTGAAACTTACAACCAATGCTCCAAAAGGCGATCTGTCTTAAGATAAGCAGAGGGGATGGGGAGAAAAGACTGTCCGTACCTTTCCTGCACTGAACAGGACCTGCAGGCTCAGTGCAAGCCTTTGGCTCTGCTAATTCAGGAGGGCTGAGTCTGATCGATCCTTGTGGGGAAGATTAACAAGGCAAACCCTGGCAACCATGACAAATAGCACTCATGACTCAGAAAGTGACTCTGTCTTCATATGTCATAACCTGCTTTGTTTACTAAGTGATCTTCTGGCTCATTTTTTCTTCTAGCCATGGGTAGAATTCAATAGTCCTAGGCGCTCCCCAAATTTTAGAACTGTGAAATACATTCCTCATATTCCTACTTTTCATGTGGGAAATCACCTGTGAAGCCCAAGTCCTAAATAGTGTGACTTTATCTGTTTATGTGGCGCTTCTGTTGGTCGCCTGGTTGCAACTGTACCTGAATTCAGGCCTCTGGGTTTCTGGATCTTAGAAGACGGAAATTACCGTGTTAAACTTTTTTTTTTTTTTTGTCTTTTTTCCGTGTCCGGCAAAGGATTGCAACCCTCAGTGTCGCCCCCGTACCGGACCGGGACCGGCAACGGGATCACAACCCTCGGTGTTGCCCCCGTGCCTCGCTCAGCCAGTGAGCGGGAACCGGTCTGTATGTGGGATCCGAACCCTTGGCGGGAGCGCTGCCGCGCTTCCCAAGCGGTGCACTAGCGCAGTGCGCCACCGGGCCGGCCCCCTACCGTGTTAAACTTAAAGTCATTTTTCCTTCATTATCTGAGTGTTGTAATTGAACAGCACATTTGTTAATAAGACATTAGTAAATTCTTTAGCATTCTAGGAAGCTTAGATTCATTGACCTACCTCTTATGTAAGCAAATGCAGCTAGAGAGTTGCTAACAATAACTCCATCTTTCCTCAAAACCCTCGATTCGCTTGGGTCGAAGTTTATACCTGTTCCATAAAAAATGCAAGATCAATTAATCACAGATGTTCACAGTATGCCTGTCCTAAGATACCCCTGCTGCTCCTAATCCAGGACTGTCACAATAATTAAAAGTCACAGACATCCAACAAATAGGCCTTTGACTAAATAATGGGAGACAATGCCAGGAGGAGTGCTTAGTAAGCAGTCCCTGAAAACACTAAATGATAAAAGGGACTAGTTGGTTCCAACTTCAGGTGCTGTGCATCCCTTTAACTGCACAAGGGAACAAATTTATTTTCTGATCCTAAAGGCCATGCATTCATCATGCCTCTCATGGCTTAATAATGTCTCATTTTAACCATGGAGCTACTTTCTGCTCTGTTGACCAGAGATAAAGGCCAACTTCGAATTGGGGAGGGAGGTTGTGTTGGGCTACTTTTTTTGAAATACCAGCAAAATTGGGGTAGATCTGCTGTCAGTTACCTGGTTACACTGCCAGGACAGAGCTTAGCGAGCTGGTGATGGGGCAGCCTGGGGGCTTAGAGAACTCCTAGGAAGGTCAGACAGGGCAGGTGCTGCTGAAGAATCAGAGCACAGAGCACTCAGGTGTCCCCGTGCAGGAGGACTAGGATATTTGAGGGATAGGGTGGGAGTCCTGTTAGAAAGAGGATGCAGAGCCTGGACAAAAGCTAGGGAGGTGAACTAGATGACAGAGCAGACCATCACCAATAGCCAGCTCTAAGCTTTGGATGAAGGGTGATTTCTATTCCTTGGTGCTTTCCTGCATTTTCCATACCAACCATACTTTACTTTTGTACTTAGGGAGAAAAGACCTATTAAATATAACAAAAGTAATACAAGATAAAACTCTTGCCACCCTAGGCCTAACATCTTAGATGCTACTGGGTCCTTGCATTTTCTATTAGGAACTCCGTGGGTGTGAATTCCAACCTAGATTTGATAGGAAAACCAAACTGCTCATCCCCCTTATTTACAAAAGTCAAGTGCAAGCTAAGGAAGGAGGCAGCTGGCGTGTGCAGTATGCATGTCCCACCTGGGTCAGGCCCCCCCAGGTTCCTGATGGGATCATCCTTGCATTAAACTCATCATATAGTCTGGGAGCCCCAAATTTATTTCTGAGATATCTTTTTTGAAGTGATTTTTCTTTTAGGAATGAAGGGAGAATGGAGGAGAGATTTAATCAAAACAAAATGTTGGCCATCATTTGTAACCGTCAGCTGCAGTACTATCATCACCAGAACTAGTTATTCAAACACACCTGACATCCCCTTCCATCTAAACAGTGTGTGCTCGACTGTGGTCACTTGAGGGCTGTTTACCTTTACTTAAAGAGAAATGCTGGTAGTAAGCCATAAAAATTACCATAGTCACCATCTTTCTGCTTCAAAGAAGGGTTTAGATTAGCAATAGCTGGATCAATCGCTGTGAGTATGTTCTTGGGTACTGAAAACCAAAAAGAGATATTTTAAATGCTTGATATATTTTTTTTAAATGTGTACACTTAATAGATTTTCAAAGTGCTATGTAGATAAGATTAATAAATCATTTTTCAAATCAGTACAAGAATCATTCATGCCACCTTCTAATTATACATGCACCCCATCTCCCCCCCATGGTATCTGTGTGGTCACCAAATTTCCCAGAATTGTGAAATTTTAGGCCCATTTTGCGATATTTTAAAAAATAACAATATAGAGAATAAATAAACACGATATAATATACCCATCTAATGTAATATAATTTAGTAATAAAAAGAAACTAAGTACTGACACATGGAACAACATGGATGAACCTCAAAAAACATTATGCTCAGCAAAAGAAGCCAGACACAAAGACCATCTGTTGTACAATTTCATTTATACAAAAAATCCAGAAAAGGAGAATCAAGAGACAAAAAGTATTAGCAGTTACCTGGGCCCAAGGGACGGGAAGGGACTGCAAATGGGCACAAGGAACTTTTGGGGATCACGGAAATGTTTAAAAATTGGAGTGTGGTGAAGGCACAACTCTAAATTTACTAAAAAATCACTGGATTGAATTCACTTCAAATGGGTGAATTTAGGGCACATAATTAATACCTCAATAAAGCTGTTAACTGTGAACATGAACTTCCCTGAGACACAGTAAAGCAAAATGACAGTGACCAACTCAAAGCCCACCACTGGCCTCTTGCGGCTCCCACTCTGCTTTGCACCCCGGGCTCTTTGCCTCTTTGCTTCCATAACAAGCCAGAAGAGAATTCCAGGACTCCAGGTTAGAGAGATTTGCTATATTTTATGAGAAAGGAGCATAGCAAGCTGAGGACAAGAAGACAGCGTGATAGACTCCTTTGGAAGGTGGTTAAAGATTCTGACAGAGTGACCCTAAGAATAAACCACTGGGTGTCAGGGTCCCCAGGCAAAGCAACCTGCAGATGACAGCACCAGCAAAACGGAGGACGAAGCAAGAATTCTGAAGGCTGAGCGCACCGCCGCAGGCTGGGAGAAGGGAGAGGAAACCAAATATTCTTGCTGTAGAAAATTGCTTGTTTTTGTTGTTCTTTAGCCCAGCTGATATGGGGGAGAAGTGGCAACAGGAAATGGAAGGGAAGCCAATACAAACCATGGAAGTTCCACTGCACTGCTTTTTTTAAAAGAACTGGTGAGACATCTTCAGCAGAAAGAAAACCTCATTTTCGTTCTCCAAGTGTTTAACTAAATTCTTCTGGGGATGTCCCAGGATCAACAAACACAGAACATTCCTAAAGTGTGAGTTTTCCACGTACAGGAGGCCCTGGCGCCTTCATGCCCATCAGCAAGTGGCAAGGGTCACTTTCCAGCGAGGCACAGTGAAGATGCTGCTGGAAGATGCTGTCCGAGGCCTTTGAGGAATGCCCCTTGGTGGCCACGGACCACACCACTGATCCTGGGACCATGGAGTGTCCAGAGAGCTGAGCTGTGCTGCTGAAAAATGGTTTCTGATTAAATAACCTCTCACTCATTTCTGGGTCCTGATTCCCTGAATCCCTGATTCCCTGGCAGCAGGAAGTCCAGGAATTGCCATCTCTCCCAGCCAGGAATGGCACTTCTTTCTCATGTCTGTCTTGTCTCTTGACCTGTTCTCAGAATACGACCCAAGAAAGGCCTTGACTCTCTGCAAATACCAGAGGCTTTACAGTTTGAGAAAGAATCAGAATTTTATAGAGAAGCTCAGAGAAGAAGGGCATTCTAAGATGAGCTTTGCAGAATAACTAGACACTCAAAAGATTAAATTGCCTGGTATGATACAGACCACAGCAGGAAACTTGCCCATTTACTATGTGAAAATGGCTCTGATGTTGGGATATTCATTCATTTAGGACCTTTAAAATAACAACAGGTGTCAACACACCTGTCAGATTCTTGCATCTCCTTGTTTCAAACTGGTTCAGAACAAGGACAGGGACTAGAGTGTGATTTATGACCATCCCTCTCCACTTGAGATATATTCGTGAAAACCCTAGCACAGCACTCTTCGTGCAGCTCCTAATGTGTGTCAGAGCCTGTTCTTGGCAGTTTAAACAGTGCATCTTGCACAGTCCTCTTAGTGGCCTGTGAAGATGTGTATCATTCCCATTCCTCCAGATGGAAAAACTAAGGCTCAAAAATGTGCCTTTCACCCAGGAGGAGGCACAGTTTCAACTCCCACTGTGGCTTACATAATCCCCTTAACTCTTCTGCAATGCTGTACTGTCTGTGAAACATTCAGCCTTTGGGAGCTGGATCAAAGATTATTTTAAAGGATTATTAAGATGGCAAAGTGATTCCCACTCAGGCAGTCCCTCTTGAGTCTGTTTAGGTGAAACCAGAGATGACAATTCTAATGGACTTGAATGGTTTGCTAAATTTGGGCACACTCTTCCACCTCGATTTTTTTTTTTTTTCAAAATGAATCTTCTGTGTCAAGCCTGGGTTGGCTCAGACTTAAGAAAGAAGACTCCACAGGTTGAACTTAGGGCCCAAAATAATTCCTCTTATCACAGACAAAAATGATCTCTGCTTAATTGTTCCTCTTTCTCAATGGTGCCCAGACTGCACGGGCACCTCCAAATCCTGCACAACTCTCCCACCTGCCCCATCCTCCTCTGGGAGGACCTGTGAGGCCCCAGGAAACTGTCAGGGCAGGGATGCTGGCTGTGCCTCTCTCTTGGTGACCCTTGAAGACTGGTGGCTGTGGGCATAGGGAGGAGCCTTCACTGCAGAGAGGAGGGGAAGCTGGCCAAGGTCTCCAGGTCTGCCTCGCCCTGTTAGGAAGAAAGACTGAAATCCAGCATTTCCAAGAAGTTTAGCTAATAGGAAAACTCAGAGGGAAAAATAGAGAGCTCGGGGAGCTCATTTAGCAGAACATTAAAGAAAAGGACTTGAGTGATGCATCTCCAAACCTAATCAATGCCCAAGTGCTCTGCGCTGCCTCCTGTTATCAAAGCAAAAGGCCCCACAGCCCAAATGACTCCCCCGAGAGGACACAATGGTGCAGAAATTCTCCACCCAGCCTAAAAGCAAGATGGGAGAACAAAATGCAGAGCCATGATTAAATGAAGCTCTATAAAACAGGGAGGAATGTCTTTTTTAAAATGCAAATTGATTATGTCCCCCGAGTAAACCTTCCAATGGATGGCTCAGCGTTGTCCTTTGGCGCAAGTCAAGTGTGAACTGCCCGTCCCCCCAGTCTCTGCCCTGGGCTCACCCCCCAGCCTGTGCACACACCCATCCTGCCTCCTGCCCTTACCTCCTGCCACTTTCACTCTGCTGACTCCCACACACTCTCCAGTCTCACTTGCCTCTGGGAAGCCCTCCTGGTCCTCCAAGTCCCCCAGAGGCCCCTACATGGCCCCACAGCTTGGAACTCACCACATTCCATCTTACAGCCTGTGGGGTGGGCCATATTGCTCACCGTGAACTCCCTAGCCCCCACCTCCACGCCTGGTATGTAGCTGGTGCTCAGAAAACAGTGTGGCATAAGTTAAGGGGAGATGGCAGCAGCGCTCCCCCGTCCCTTCATGGCCTAAGCTCTGCCGCCCCCAGTTCAAGAGAAGCAGCGGTTCATAGCTGGATGAAGTCCAGTGACCTTCTGACATCAGGATGCCCATTCCCCTCTCCCCTCCAGAATATTCTAGTTGGCTGTGCAACAGGGGCAAGCTGTGGCTGAGGCACCCCTGCCCCTAGATCAGCCCAGCTCCTCTCATTTTGGAGAGGAGTGGCATGTGCTTCTGTAGAGATGAGGGTGGGTCCCCACAGCAGGGCCTGCTTGACCCTTACAGAACCCCTCCTCCCACCCACCCCAAGGGGTGAGGTATGCCCCATGTCAGCAGAGCAAGATTACTGGGTAGAAAAGTAAAGCTAAGCTGGAGGCTGAGGTTAGAAACACAGTACTGGAATAGAGGCCTGTTGGGGTGGATCTTCCCAGACCTTCCTACTTAAGAACATCTTGAGTTGGGTGGGGGGGTTAGTTGGGCCCCTCTCTGGAAGCTGTATTTATAATCACATCACATGGTCTCTGGCCAGGGCTGATCAAAGGAGGTGGTTACGTGACCCCAGGCCAGCCAATTAACCATCTTTCTGTTAAAAATTTAGAATTAAGATTGCAAGACTACAACATCTTCATATTGGTAGGACTGTAACATTAAGTACTATTCAGAGCTGTGGGAGTGGCTTTATTCCACCCAGCCCAGCTCAGAGGAAGGCTGTCTGTGCTGTGCGGGTGGGTGGGCGGTTAGGAAGTGAATAGCAGAGAAGAGAGATGGAGAGATGGTCGTCATACTTTTTTCAGAAGACAAAGGCCATGCAATGGGAATGCCAAGACTTAACTTCATTCATTCCCCAAATCCTCTTCCTTCCTATTATAATGAGAGAAACATTCCACCCTCCTATCAAATATCAACCCCAACCCTCTCAGCTTCTACCAGACCCTAATCCTTCCAATACACCAGGTCTCTTCTATATCACTGTGTTTCTATTCCCCAAGTAGTTCTCAAATCCATCCAGTGTTCACCGTGTCTCCTAGTGCCGCTTTAGTCTACGCCACCATTGCCTGTGGCCCTCCAGCTAGTCTCCCTGCTCCTACTCTGCTGCGTCCACTCTCCACTCAACAGCCAGAGAGGTCTTCCTGATGCCCATCACAGAGAACACAGGGAGATCTCACACATTTTCTTTTATGCTTTGGCCTACCCGTGATACCACTGGCTACGTCTAGTCACATGTTCATTTCTAATCTCAAGGAGGTGGAGAAACATGGTCTTCTATGTGCCCGGAATCTGATCACATGACCCCCCTACCTAGAACCTTCCACTGGCACCCTCTTCCAAGACCTGGGAACTGGTTCTGGCCCTCTCCAGTGCCATGTCATGCCACCTTCCTCCTTGCCAACTCCTCTCCTCTGTCCCACTCAGCACCTCTGCGTCTCTGTCACCCACCCCCATCCCCACTCTGCCAGTTCACCACCACCCCCCAGTGCAGCTGAAAGTTCACACCCAGAAAAAATGTTCTCTTTGGAAGACTTCTCCAACCACCACCCCCAAGCCAAATTAGGGTCCCTCCACCATTATCCTCTCCTATAGTATCCTGCCCTTTTCCAAAACAGAGTTTGTTGCAATAGGTAATGACAGATTTGCCTGGTTATTTGTTTAATACCTGTCTCTCTCCCCCGACTGTTAATCCCAGGAGGACAAGCACCATGTCGCTTTGTTTACTTCTGTATTCTCAGCACCTGGCACAGCTTCTGACACACAGAACACGCCTGCCATGCGCTGAACAAGTGAAGGAGGGAAAAGAGGCTTGAACCAGGACGTGCGACCCCCAGGCCACAAAAGCTCAGCTTCTCCGCAGCAGCCAAAAAAAGCCACAGCCCCAGTAATGGCTCTTGCCTCATCCTTGAAAATTCACCTCACTTTTATTCTAAACTCCTGCTCCTCATTCAACACTCAGCTGAAGAGGCCTAAAGTTACCGGAACCTCAGCCAGAACAGGCTCAATGCCACCCAGAGCTGCTTAGATGTGGTAGCAGGAATAAAGCCTGCGAGCAGCTAAAACCAGCCTTCCTGTAATGCAAGTGTGGCTGCTGTTATTCTGGGAATACTTGTAAGCAGTCACCTCATTGTACCTATTGAGATGGGAGGTGCTCAGTTTCCCTGGGTTTGGGTTTCAGGACACACCTCTGGGTTTCAAACCACATCCCGAGGTCTCAGGGCCCTCCTGTCCACCCTCCCATAGAGAAGAGTTACTGTTGTTAGTTGAACCTATTTTAGGAGACCTCAGGGGGCTGACTTATGCAAATCCAGTGGCCGGGCATGCTCCATAGAAAGGGGTTATATAACCCTAATGGCCAAGCATGCTCAATAAAGTGGAATTTATATTCATGAGATGCATGAATATGTATCAGATAGCGAAACTAGAAAAGTTGAATCCCGGCAGAAGGTGGGGTTGTTGCTCACTTTTGGATCTTTTGTATCAAACTTACTTTTGGCAGGCGGCTGCTCACTCTCTTGAGCCAGCCTGCACTCTGTACTAGACTTGAAGTGGGTATTTCTTTTTTGTTCTTTAAAGATGACCAGTAAGGGGATCTTCACCCTTGACTTGGTGTTGTCAGCACCACGCTCAGCCATGAGAGCTAACCGGCCATATATGGGACCCAAACCCGCGGCCTTGGTGTTATCAGCACCACGCTCTCCCAAGTGAGCCACGGGCTGGCCCTAAGGGGGTGTTTCTTACTTTTGTACTGGACCTGGTGCGGGTTCTGCTGGGTCTCGGGAGCTAGGCCGCACTCTCTGTGAAATCTGCATCTCTTATTCGTTTACATTAAACCCGTTCTCACTTTCTACTGTGACTCTGCCCTTGAATTCTTTCCTGTGGTGGAATCAAGAACTTGGTAAGGGGACGAGACCCCTTCTCCTCTGGCATCACTATTACAGCCTTGATACTGCAGAAAAAAATTTTAGTTCAGGATAGGAAAGTCCAGGTATGCAATGGAATATTATTAGGCCATAAAAAGGAACAAAGTACTGACACATGCTACAACATGCATGAACCTTGAAAACATATGCTAAGAAGCCAGACACAACAGACTGAATATTGCATGACTCCATTTATATGGAAGGCTTAGAAGAGGCAAATCCATAAAGACAGAAAGTAGACTGGTGGTTGCCTGCTGCTGGGGAAGGGGAGTAACGGGTGGATGGGGTGACTGCTAAAAAATACACCATTTCTTTTTGGGGCGATGAGAATGTTCTTTGATTGTGGTGATGGTTGCACTAAAAACCATTGACGTGTATGCTTTAACGGGTGAATTCTACGGTCTGTGAATTATATCCCAATAAAGCTGTTATTTTAAAAAGAAAAAAAAGCTAGAAATATTTGGCAGGGGATAAAGGGGTGGCCAAGAGTGAACGTATCAAGTTCCTCAGTTATAGTGCTTTTTGGGTTCCCTTTGCTTTTATGCTCATTTCAAAAATACAGTCAGGGTTACACACTGGAAATCTATCGTACCCTCAAAAAACAATTGCTGATTTACTTGTAAGCAGTTTTATGAAACTGGAATCTAAACAAAGCAGGCATTTCATTTTATTATGTAAAGACTAGGGAGATAAAGTAATGCTGTCGTGTAACATTTTTAATTGTTTTAGGGGGAGCATTTGATCTGTTGACTCACGCTGTGGATATGTAGATAAAGTAGCTGCTGGCAGCATCTTGAGTTAGTCATTCGGGGCCTAAAAGCAGTCCAGGGAGGTTAAATAAGAGCCACACAATACTGCTGTGAACTTGCATGACATACCAATAAATTCTAGAGCCTCCTAAGAGCCCAGATTAAAATCGCTGTTCTCAGGGACATCAGTTCTACCCCATTTGCTTGTTCTTTTTCTACCCTCCCCATTTGCTGCCAATCTGATTGCTAAAAGCACTTTGAAAACAAATTTTAACCAAAGAAAATCCTACCACTTATCTGATGTCAATGTCATAAACAAAAAAAGAAAGGATAGAAAAAGGGGCTCTGGAATATCTGGGATGACAGGACAGTTTCTGGGGTAGAGTCGTCTGGCTCATTGCATTCAAACTGCTACTGTTCACAGGATCCCCGACTCCCAAAGAGGCAGGGTCTTCAGGCAGCTTGCTGTGGGTTTATTCTTACCACATGCGTAGGTAACAGTGAGGTATTTTTTCACTCCCGGCAGACAGGGGCTTCCAAAATGGTGATTGTTGACAATGATTTTGCACCTCTGCTTCCCATAGCACCTTCTGGATAATACTTGTAAGGCTGAGTAAGACAAGCAGTCTGAAAGGCAGGAAACATCAACAGGAGCGTTAGGTCGCACTCTACACATGGCCACGCCACCGCTTATGCTCCTCTCTGTAAATAAATAAACTGAACAGGCTTTTAGGTTGAATGAAGACTGTTTCTCTGTTTGTTTTCTGTCTCATTAAAGCCCCTAAGTTGGGCTGAGCCAGCTTTGTGGTCGTGTGCTGTGAGGCCCCGGGCTCGCTTTGATGTTCTCCTGGCACTGTCTTGAAATTCTGATGCACGTCTGAGCCAGGGGCCCCGGATTTACATCCAGCACTGGGCCCATACATTATGTAACTCATCCTGCATGCAGAGCAGTTGAAATATGTAGAATGTTGAATTAAGGTTCGTGTTTCTTTTATGAGCCTCACCACTCTTTGAATTATTATGTTTGTTTATTTTAAGAACCCATCTCCCCTACATGAACATAAGCCCCATGAGGGACTATTTCTGTCTTGTTCATCATCTAATTCCCACTGCCTGGCCTACTGTAGAAGCCTCCCAAAATAACGGATGAATGAATGAATAAAAGGAATTAATAAAGACGAGGACATGTTTTTCAGCACACTGGCACAATGCCATCATATTAGTAAATATTGATTAACACCTATGGAGGAGGAGGTAGGAAAACCAGTAAGAAGAGACTGCCTTGCATTCGCAGGGGGTTCAGTGGGGCTGGAGAGACAAAACTTACATGTGAGACCTGGAGTCTAACAATGGGACACAGTGATGGAGAGCCAGAAAAGTGGGTCCTGACACGAGGTGCTGGGGTCAGAGGCGGGAGAGTGTGCTATGGGCTGGAGTGGCCAGGCAGGCTTTATGGGTCGTGGAAGGAAGAGCACAGATAGGGGAGAGGCAGGCCAGAGAGAGAGGCGTGAATGCTCAGGAGGGCAGGCCAGGAGCACTTGAGGGTCTGCCCCCACCTGGGTGTGAGCAAAGTAAACTGCACCAAGACGGAGACTGTCCTCCAACGCTTAGCTAAGGAATCTGGGCTTTAATCTGCAAACAACAGGGAGCCTAAAGAAACAGCCTGACGCTATTGTCTGTTGGGGACAGTGTACAGGATTCCTGGGAGGGAAACGGAACCAAAGGCAGGGAGAGCAGTTTGAAAGCGATTTTAAGAGTATACTTTGGGGGGAGTTAAGGGCTTGACAAGCAGGGAACGGAGAAGAGGAAAATTTCAGAGACCTTGTGAAATTCAGCTCATAATAACAGCTAGCATTATGCCAGACACTGTCCTCAACACTTGTATGTTAACTGATTTAATGTTCCCATTAACCTATGAGACTGGCCGTTTGTAACACACACACCCCAATTTTGTGGATGAGGAAGCAGACACAGGGAGGCTCTGTAACCTCACACACTAGAGAACAGTGGGGCCTGAACAGCAATGCTGCAGTGAGGCTCCAGAGTTTGCAGGTGACCTCTGAGCCCTGCTCTCCAGGTCTCCAGTGGAGGGTGGAGAAGGAGCTATGGAAGATGATTTCAGATCTTAAGCTGCGGGACTGAGGAAACAGTGGTGCTGCTGACAGTGATTGGGGAAATCAGCAGGAATAAACAGTTTGGAGAAGATGATAAATTTCATTAAAAAAAAAAAATACTGTCCTGCATTTGAGTTGCAAGAGGACTTGGAGGGAACATTCATATCTGGAGATGCCCACAGGTGGCTCTTGCCTGGAGAGGCCGAGGGCTGGTGCTGTGGTGAAGGGAGGCTCAGGGAGGATGTGGGGGACACAGTGCAGGGCAGCCTTAAAAAGTCTATGCTTGTCTGTTCATGGCTCATAGATGACAAACTCGTCTGCCCTTTAACAACAAAACCTCTGCAGTCCCCAGACCCTCTCGCCAGCCTCATCTCTTTCCTTCACAGTCAGGCTTCTAGGAAGGGTCCTCTGTGCCCCTGCCTCTGCTGACTCTCCCCACATCCCCACCATGTCCCCTCCACTCCTCAATGTGCTTCTGTCCCACGCACATCCTGAAACTGACCCCTTCCCCAAGACCACAGGGACCTACCACTGTCCTATGCAAGAGATAAGAACTGGTCCTAATCCTTCCCTGTCTCTGGAGCGTCTGGTGCCTGAACACTCTTGCTGAAGGATTCCTCTCCCACCTCGGTTCCCTGGTGCTCGTCACCTGGGTTGTCTCTGATCCCTCTATCCCAGCACCTTTGCAGGCCAGGCCACCCAAAGCGAGCTCGTTCCTGTGCCTAGGTCTGAGCTCTCTTCTCTCGGCTACTCTCCATCTGGGCCCCAAGCCCATTCCTGTTGCCACCAAACCACTGAGAGCCAAAGACTGGCTCACAACCTTCAGTTTGACCACTCTCAGAACTCCAACCCATGCAGCAATTGCCTTTTCTCTCTTTCCAGGAACCTCTCATTCCACAGTCTAGACCGGATCCATCACTTCCTCATATTCCGTTGCTAACACCCAAGCAACGCTGCCTACCCCTTCCTGCTCTCATCTCCTCCTCCTCCTGCCCCGGGATCTGACAATCTGGCCCTGGAACACGTCCCTTCTCTCAGTTCTTCAGCCATGGCCTTAGTTCCACCCCTGCCAATTTTGCAGCAAGTCTTCTAACTGTTCTCCCCTCCCCCAATTTTCTCCCCTGCACGTGGTTCTGCCCTTGGCCCTTTAATGTGCTCTTTCCAATCATGTCACTCCCTGCTTAAGGTCCCTCACTGCCTAGAAGACCGGATCCAGCTTCTATGCACAGTGCATAAAGCCCAGTGGCACTTGCCTTTGCTCCCTCCTTCTTGGCTTCCTCTGCAGCCGTCCTTCCACCCCAGCCCGAGTCCCAGCCTGCAGGTCTCACTGCAGCTCCATAAAGCTGGCCTGTGATCCTTGATGTCTCCATACCTTTGCACATGCTCCTGTGCCCACTTGGAAATACCCGCTTCTCTCCATCTTCTCAGTTGTGCTGTCTGCATAATACCGATTTCCAGGCTGCAGTTAGTAGCTTCTTTCTCTGTGCTTCTACTGCTGCTGGTATAGCTCTTATACGGTTCTAACTATTTGCTCATTCTTCTGTTTCCAGACTAGACAGGGTGCTCCTGCTCCCAGTGTAACTGGTTACATTTCAGTTAAAGTTTGTTTATTCCTTGTATACATTGCTTGTTCTATCAGTAAATTTCCATGACTAACCTCTTACTCTGTTTCTTCCTATCTGCCTTTTAAGATAATGCCTCTGGCCCAGAGGTCATGAATTGTTTGACTAAGGTATTTTGCAGGATGGTTTTAGTTAGCTTAACCCAGCATAAACCAGGCTACACTGGTTGAACCCACAGATTTCTCTACCGAGCCTGCACAATATCCGATGGATGACCTTTTGACATCAGAGGGCTGAAAACTCCACTTCCAGATCATGCTAACACTGCCATTTTTTGAACATGAGACCCACGAAGAGACATGCAGATGGCTCATGCCTGCACAGATTGCTAAAGAACTTCCTCAAACCCTTTAACCAGTCACAATCCCCTGCACCTTGCACCACCCCTAACCACTTCTCCGTAAATTTCTCTTCTTCCCTGCTGTAGAGAAAGCAGATGCCCACCCAATCACTTGTCTCCAGCCCAGATTTCCCTCCTGAGCATCACCTCTAGATGTATTAGTCCATTTCTGTTGCTTATAACGAAATACCTGGAACTGGCAAAAAAAACAAAGCTGGAAGCCTCTCACTATCTGATCTCAAAATATACCACAAAGCTATAGCAATCAAAACAGTACAATACTGGGATAAAAACAAGACACACAGACTGATGAAACAGAATAGACAGTCCAGAAATAAGCCCAAGATATATGGTCAACTAATTTTCAACAAAGACACCAAGAAGACACAATGAGGAAAGGATAGTCTCTTCAACAACAATGTTGGAAAAACTGATTTCCACATGCAAAAGAATGAAATTGGATCTTTATTTTTCATCATACACAAAGACCAACCCAAAATGCATTAATGACTAAAACCTAAGACCTTAAACTATAAAATTCCTAGAAGAAAACACAGGAGAAAAGTTCCTTGACATTAGTCTTAGCAATGATTTTGTAAATAGGACAACAAAACAAAAATAAACATGTGGGTCTACATCAAATTAAAAAGTTTCTGCACAGCAAAGGAAATTATCAGCAAAATAAAAAGGCAGCCTATGGATTGGGAGAAAATATTTGCAAACAATATATCTGATGAGGAATTAATTTCCAAAATATATAAGGATCTCACACAACTCAGTAACAAAAAAATAATGTGATTAAAAAATAGGCGAAGAATCTGCATAAACATTTCACCAAAGAAGACATAAAAATGGCCAGCAGGTATATGAAAGGTGCTCAGCATCACTAATTGTCAGGGAAATACAAATCAAAACCATAATAATATATCAGCTCATACTTGTTAGAATGGCTATGAGTTTACTTCAAAAAATTCATGGAAAGATTTGTATTATCTTTCAATTCTAATTTTCCACGAACATTTTGAAGTATCTTTGTATCACCAAAAAGAAAAGAAATAGCAAGTGTTGGGAAGGGTTCAGGGAAAAGGGAACTCTTGTAAGTTGTTGGTGGAAATACAGATCTCTGCACACACTGTGGACGGCAGTATGGAGATTCCTAAAGAAATCCAAAATAAAACTATCATATAACCCAGCAATCTGTTTTCTGGGTATATACCTAAAGGAAATTCTCCATTTCTTTGCAGATACCAACTGAGTGTCCTACAATTTAACTCAATTGTGACACTAGCTGCCTGGAGTTAGTACAGACCCCACAGCTTAAAGGCTAGATCCCACAAGACTTCCCCCCACTCCCACTTCAGATACCAGTTGTAGGTCCAGGCCTCCCATACTTCTGACTGATATAAGTCAGGGATTCCTATGACCTCCTCTGGGGTTCAATAATTTGCTAGAACAGCTCACAGAACTCAGGAAAATAGTTTACTTACAAGATTACCAGTTTATTATAAAAGGAGACAACTCAGAAACAGCCAAATGTTAGAGATGCGTAGG